CCCCCAAAACCCCAAAACCCCAAAACCCCAAAACCCCATTAAAAGCTAATAGGATTGAATAATATTAGTCTTCTTCATCAGAGTTTTCTGGAGTATCTGGACCGAATAGATCTGGAAGGCCATCCCAATTCCTTGCCTCACGATCATCCCAGTAATTACCGAGAAAACGGTATTCAACTCATCCCTTCTCAGCTTCAGTTGGATCTGGCTCTTCGTACTCATAGAAGTACCTTGGTTTATACTTTACATTTGCTGCTTCCATTCTTTTTCTTCTCCTTCTCTGCTTTTCTTCGAGTCTTTGCTTTTCAGCATTGGCTTGCTTGAGTTCTCCTTCCTCGAGCATTCTTTGATCAGGTCTAAACCTGGAGTCTGTTGGGGGTAACTTGTCTTCCAATTTTCTCTGTAGAAGGTTTAGTTGTAGTGTAAAGTCGGTGAAATGGTATATTTTCTCCCAATCTTTAGGAATTTCAGGGAATTCCCATATCTTTATCCCATCTTTATCTTTGTCTTTATATTTCTTATAGAAGAGAGATTCAGTCCATTTTCCAAAGACCTCGTAGACCTTGTTGTCACTAGCATCTGAGATAATGGCTGAGATTTTACCCTGGTTCTTTTTACTTGAGAACATGCCTAAAGATTTGAAGGACACAACTGCTTTATCTCCAGTACTTTTGTTTAGAACTACTCAATCTCCATTATGATCAATGTACATACTTCCAATTATGATGTTCTGACATGCAGAATTAGGCCTGTTGGACACAAAATGATGATCGTTGTCCTTGAACTTGAAGTGCATCCCTCCAAGAGGCTTGAATTCAAGGCTTTTCCCCCAAAATTTGGTCTTCAGATGAGAGTTCATCCAAAGCTCGTATCCAGTTGCATCAACATAAGCTGCTGAGATTGGAGGATGGTGACTGACTTGTTCTGATATATATTTCCAATTATTAGACTTCATTTCAAAAGTTTCTCCAAGAACAGGATTGAATGGTTTCGATCACCTAAATTGAGTGCCTCCATATTGTGCTATTAGAAAGGCAGAAACATAGACCATCCTAAGGAGTGGATCAGTCTGAACAGAAGCTTCTGCTAAAAGATTCTCATTTTGCATCATTTCTCCCACTTTTTGGAGCATCGAAATAGGCTCGTTAAAATAAACTGGAACTCAGAATTTCGTTAAATCTTTGCCAATGGAGTCCTTTAAGATCTTAAAGATATTAATAGATGACTTGGGCTTAAGAGCTGGTAAAGTGGTTCTTTGATCATCTTGGATCATAACAGTTTCCCTTCTCTTTTTATTTTTCCTCCCTCATGGTTTTCTCAAGTTCTTCATATATGATATGGTCTACAGCATCATAGAACTCAAGACCGTCAGAGTCACAATCAGAGTCGTTTTGGGAATATTCCTTTCGAGGTTTGCTTTCAGTTGTAACATCATAGCCTTTAAACTCTTCAAAATGGACAGATTTCTTTTTCTTGAGCTGTGTATAGCCATTTCTATCATTTGTCATTAAATCATCGGGTTTATTACGTCATGGGCGAGATCCAGAATTATTCCTTTGCTTCTTCTCTTCTTCCATTCCACGACCTTCAAAATCAGTGATGGTTTGAACCCTGTTTCTTGTAGTTGTAAAGAGATCGTCTTCCTTCACTTCATAGTTCATGCTTTGATCCTTCTTCTCTTCAGAGGCGGATACGAGTATGCTCTTTTTAAGGCATGCTGCTTCGAGATCATCTATACCTACAGATAACTGCTGGGTGAGATCTATGCAAGCCTTTGCATCAACCTTCTTCTTGGTGATGTTCTGGGAGAGCCTATCTAGTGTACTGCGAAGTATATCAAATTGCTCTTCTAGTTTAAGCTGATTTGACTTAATCGGTCTTTTGTTTTGCATTGTTCTAATTTCTATTTCTTTCTTGATGTGTCTGTCACTATTTACTGATCTCCTGTGATTAACTGCATTTTTAATCAAGTCTTTAAGAGAAGCTTCCCAATGACTATTTTTCAGAATTTGAGCTGAACTTAAGGCTCATGCTGTCTTTATCTCGGCTAATCTGGAGAATTTTATCTTTCTCAGCTTTTAATTTGGTGGTTTTCCCCAGTTTGATCTGTTTGAAATCTTTGCAATAGCCAATCCAATCCTCTGTTAAGATGAAGTGTCTCTTTTTCCATCCCTTCATGATGCCTCCCCACTTTTTAAGGCTAGCCTCTTCCACTATGCTCATTATCGCAAATTCTAATAATGTTATTTTTATACAATTCTACTCAATAAATACAATGAATTAGGGGTTTTGGGGTTTTGGGGTTTTGGGGTTTTGGGG